ATTGTGGAGGTACTGGACTGGTTTGATTGTGGAGGTACTGGACTGGTTTGATTGTGGAGGAACTGGACTGGTTTGATTGTGGAGGTTCTGGACTTGTTCAATTGTGGAGGTACTGGACTGGTTCGATTGTGGAGGTACTGGACTGGTTTGATTGTGGAGGTACTGGACTGGTTTGATTGTGGAGGTACTGGACTGGCTTGATTGTGGAGGCAATGGACTACTTTGATCGTGGAGGTACTGGACTGGTTTGATTGTGAAGGTACTGGACTGGTTTGAATATGGAGGTACTGGACTAGTTTGATTGAGGAGGTACTCGACTGGTTTGATTGTGTAGGTACTGGACTGGTATGATTGTGGAGGTAATGGACTGGTTTGATTATTGAGGGACTGGACTGGGTTGATTATTGAGGTACTGGACTGGGTTGATTGTGGAGGTACTGGACTGGTTTGATTGTGGAGGTACTGTACTGGTTTGGTTGTGGAGGTACTGGACTGATTTGATTGTGGAGGTACTGTACTGGTTTGATTGTGGCGTTAATGGACTGGTTTGATTATTGAGGTACTGGACTGGTTTGATTGTGCAGGTACTGGACTGGTTTTATGATGGAGGTACTGGACTGGTTTGAATATGGAGGTACTGGACTGGTTTGATTGTGGAGGTACTGGACTGGGTTAATTATGTAGGAACTGGACTGGTATGATTATGGAGGTACCGGACCGGTTTTATTATGGAGGTACCGGACTGGTTTTATTATGTAGGTACTTGACTGGTTTGATTATGGAGTTACTGGATTGGTTTTATTATGGAGGTACTGGACTGGTTTTATTATGGAGGTACTGGACTGATTTAAATATGGAGGTACTGGACCGGTTTGATTATGGAGGTACTGGGTACTGGGGGAATTAGTTCCACTCAATTGCATGCAGGAGGAACAGGACTTGTGATCTGTACGCAAGGAATTCTGTTTGATAAGAAACTTATTGAAGTTGTGGACACCAGATATCGGGGAAACCCTTAACGCGTTATAGTGATCACAAATACAAGGAGACATAAATCACCATTACATGGAATGTTGTTATAACTCACTCGTCCCTAGCGTTACCTAAGTATATTATGCATATGCATCACTCTAAGAAATGTGATTCGTCATGGCGTTGTCGAGGACAGTGTGGACAATGCGGCTTGGGTTACTGGTCTCACGCACAACCAACACATCTTCTATGTCGGCGGCGGCCAGGACAATATCTCCGGATATGACAGACTAAATTGAAAAAAAAAGATCAAGAGTATTGATGAATTGTAAAGACGGAGTAAACAGGGAAGATTTGAGTTCTTTTGTGTAGATGTTAGCTTACCGAGAATAATAAATTTCTAGTTATGAGGAAGTTAACTGAAAAGCAATTAACACTATATTCTGATGTTAATATTTCTCTGATAATATCCTCTCATAAGCCTAACCAATAGTAGTTGTCAGCCAATTCAAAATCAAACATGGCCGCCTTGACTTCTGATTGGCTCAGACATTTGTACTTATTGAGTTCTACCATGCTATTTTTAACAAAACTTGGTAAAGATTATCCCGTAATACACCCGACCAAATGTTGCTATTTTCTCTGGTCGTTTAAGTCTCTGATTGGTTCAGAAATTTTCAACATCTACACTTCCGCTATAGGTTTACCTTACCAAAGTTAGAACACGTGCTGTCTACATAGAATGTTTAACAATGGGGTTCCTGAGAACTTCTAAAGGACAATAAAGTCAGAAAGACAAACAACTGAGCGATATAGGCCATGTTAGTAAAAGGTCCTCTAGTCAATGGCAAGAAAATCCGACGAAGACGATTTCTGATGATGACTACTGCTGTTATTGTCCTATGAACGATCAGCCTGTAACTAGAAACCCGCATTAGCACTAAGATTAAGGGGACGATTTAGGGGTGTGTTACGACAGAGTCACGTGTGTAACTTGAAGCAATAGTAACGTCTAAAGTGTGTTACAGGTAACCACCACTTAAAAAGGGGATGTTTGTCGACGTAAGGTAGCTTTAGTTGAGATCACCTTAAGACAGTGTTAAGTTGCAGAGAAGGGGACGGGGTACTGCTATTCGTAAAATGTACCGTTATTCCCTTAAAGGAACATCTAAGGTTGCTTCTTGTTACACCTTAGCGTACGTAGGTAACTTTACCTAAGCCATGAGGGGATGTCTTGTTACAGGTTCCGGGTTAGTAAACAAAGATTAGAGACACGTGTATACATATGCAAGACACGTCAACGGACGCAAACAACACGTGTCGATAGATAAAACGTGTTTTCATGATACAATGTGTCAACTATTTACATTGCATCAACAGACATACAGTGTTCTGCAAACATACGATTTCTCTACTGTCATACAATGTGTCTAAAGACTTACAATGTGTCGACAAATATACAATGTGTCTACGGATATACAATGTGTCTACGGATATACAATGTGTCTACG